GAAATACAACAACTTCACGCTGTGGATCACCGGATCGGCTTTCACCGTGGACGAAGCGGAATCCAGCCTGGGGTCTTCACATGTGGTTGACGCAGGCATCACAATATGGGAAGGGACGTAACATTTCCGTCACACGCTTGAGGAATTCGGCCAATCATAACGCACTGGATAGCTGGCCAATCACAGCACACCTCGCTTTTTCAGACCGATGAGCTTTGTAAAAATCGACGCGTTTCAGAAAGGCGGGGCATAGAGGAGAAACAATAATGTACAGTATGTGGAAAATAATGTGTTTTTTGAACCTTAAACCGCATAAACACATTTCATTACACCAAATACACAAAATAATGTTATTTTTAGCAGCATCATATGACCCCTTTAAGGGACGGGTAATGAGGACAATTAGGGGGAGGCAGCCGATCCGTCACAATATAATATATACGTATATATATACATATAGGAGCAGTGTGTGTGTATATATACATACATATATATATATTGTTTTGTGATTGTTATTCACAAGACCGTTGTTTGTCCAGAACAGTTAAACTGCCCGCTGTTCTTCAGAAAAATCCTTCAGGTCCCACAAATTCTTCGGTTTTCCAGTATCACAATTCATTAAGATCCTGGAGGTGAAAACTTTTTGAATTTGAAGATCAGGGTAAATTGAACATATTTTGTCTTCTGGGAAACCTGTAAGTACCTTCTGTAGCTTCTGAAGGGAAGTACTAAATGAAAAAAAATATGATATTTAGGCAAAATAAGAAAAAAGTACACATCTTCATTCTGTTCAAACAGTTTGAACAGTTTCTGACATCAGTGGAGGGGCTTGATCTCAACAACGATGCGCTAATGGACATTTTTAACAACGGCCTTAACAAGGCTGTCTACGCCTGGGAGATGGGAATGCTGGGGATTTTAACATTCTGGCAGTTTGTGGGTTTTGTGTACCATGAGGGAGATGGTGGCCTACCTCCCCTTGGCCCTCCCCCCAATCGCTGCAGTATCCTCTGAGGCGGCCGAGAGCATTACAGCGGCTCCGGAGGAGGTAATCTCTTTATGGTCACCTCATTCTCATTAGCGGAATACAAGCTCCAGTGGTTCCAAGTCTGATTTCCTGGAGGACCCAACTGCAGTGGTCCCAAGTCTGGTGGTCCTGTAGTAGTCCTGGCACATCAGAGTGTTTTTTTTTTTTTTTTTTTTTTTTTTGTGATTTGCGATTTAAAATATGATTTAAAGCATGGATTATCATATGTCTACTACTTTTTTTGAGAGAAGTATTTTTTTCCTATTTTTCCCAAAATAGGATGAATTGTCCATTAGTGAGCACTATAAACACATTTAATGTCTGTTTCTGTCATACTGGACGCCAGAGGGCACCCTCGCACAGAAACTTCACATATGCATCACAGAGGTAACATAACTCATGACGCTCCAGGAAATCCCTGATATAAACAAAAGCGTCCAACTATTGCTGTGACTGAAGAAAAAGGACAAAAATTTGAACGAAATATAAAGACAATAAACACTCTACTGTGACAATATAGTTTACCTATTCTTCAAGCCATCTCGTGTATTTTCATAATAATTAAGTATATTTATAATCCATTGCTAATCGACATTTAATCTTTTTTACAGTATAAAACATTTTCTGCCTCATTCTGTGATAAGAAGCCACATCAGATCACAAAAGCAAGCATTTGGCTGATGTTGTGGAGTAAAACATGTTATAATATTCTCTTTTGTTGGACAACAGGTTTAGAAACGCTTCTCATTGCAAGTCATTACAAGCGAGTTTAGCTTTATTTAATTTAAGCACGTTTAATGTAGCTAGCTAACGGTGGGCTACCTGCTGCCTTGAGAGCAATTGTAATTGCTGCATTCACGCGCTCCGCGGATGCTCTCATTTTCAATTTCTCATTGTGCTTTTAAGTCGGAATGTGAAAACAACATGGACACTAATGTTACTACAAAGATGTGTTGGATGTAAATTATCAGAGCTTTCCGACTTGCGTTCACGTGAATTTTCTCAGTCGGAAAATTATTTTTCATATTATTCTGACACCACATGAATGCAGTAAAATTTATCTAGTGATCACATGCGGTGATGATCCTTTATACTTCCGTTTCGGAGCACCAGAGGGCAAATATTGCAATCGACAGCTCAGGCAATTAAGTGGCACTGAAATGAGACACCGAAATCTGCGTTCTGATTCAGTTCGGTACATACTGGTTATAAAGGTACCATGCCATATTGGCACTGGGTTTTGATACCCAACCCTAGCTGGGACTCCAGACACAACGGGGCCACACCTGAGCCTTCCTGGTTCGTCCCTCCGACTCTGCCTTGGTTATCTGCCAGGATTTCTGATTCGACGGATCCCACCTGGCTCAACCCTCCCATCCCTCCCTGGTTGTCCGCATTGGTCCGGAACTGTCCTAAGATTTCCTGGGCTGTTCCTCCAGCACCACCTTGGTTTCCCTCCCTCCCCTTCTTGTTTATGTGGTCTGACCCTTGTCTGTCTTGTGTTGGTGTGATGGTGTGTTTCTGTTTATTGTGTTATTGTCTTATGTTGTCATGTGATGTGTTGGTGTCTGTTAGTCATGTGTTTGGTGTCCCTCGTTGAGGATGCCAGGGGGCATCCCGTTTGAGGGGGGTAGAGTCAGGGTTCTGTCACTTTGGTCTGGTTTATTCCTGGTTTTGTAACAGAAATATTTTATGACGTCATCTGGTACTTGCCTAAAAGACGTGTTTATGATGTGCTTAGTTAATAGAATACACAAACATTAAGCTACTTTTAGCCTTATATCCTGGAAATGGTTCACCCTCTGCCTATGTTGAATCATCTGAAGTGGTTTCTCAGTCAGTAAAACAAACAAGACCACAGAGACCAATCTGTGATGGATGAAGTGCATAATAAACTACAAACAACTGAAACAAAAGACTACATTTTGAAAGTTAACTTTAATAAATGCAGCTACTGCTGTGCTGATGTGAATAAGCCACCATTCACACAGAATTGTTTTTTTGTGTCCACCCGTGCTGTTTTTTCAGTTGTTTTCCTATGTGAACATGGGCTAGGATGTCTTTGACGATTCTGTTGCTTTTTGCCATTTTCAGGGTTAAAAGCGTTTTAAGGTGTCTAGAGAAGCCTTCATTCAAAAAAAAAAAAAATTTCTGTAACTCTGTGCGTACCCTCAGATGAAACCCTGCAGGCGCCCCTGCATAAGACCATAACCACAGACAACACAATAGATGGCTCCATAGATCAGAGTTTACTGTAAGTGAGATGAAAACTAAAAAGCATGTGCCAAATTTTCCTGCATAGCGACAGCCTTGACCACAACACACCACAGATGTCACTAACTTGTTGGGCTCATCTATCACATTCACCTTAAAAGAAAACAAATTTAGATTTACTACTCACGTTGTTAGTTTATTCATTATTTAGTTTGTTGTTTAAAGCAGCAACTTAAACTGCACACATTTAGTAAAGCACACATCTACAACATTTTCTCTTGTTAGAAAGAGGTCAGTAAACCACTGTTGCTACAGCAACTATAGCAATAGATAGATCACCACAGAACTGCTGTTGCAAGCTGGATGACACTGTTGCTAGATTAGAGACTTTTCAGACCCCTATGTTTGCTCTTATAACAGTGAGAGGAAATCGTAACTTCAGGTTTTCAAAGATAATTTGCTTCACTCTCAGTGGAAAGCAAAGATTTCAGAGGTGAACTAGGCCAATGTACAATATCTATACTTAAGTAAGAACAACGAAACAATAGAAATATAATCACTAAATCATAAACTACCATTCCAGAAAAAAAGTGTTCTCATTAAAGAATAGAATTATATACACTCTATAGCTCACGACTATAATGTCACACCAACATTAATAGAGCGCAGGAGGGATTATGTATTTTTGTAGACCAAAATACATCGTTATGAAGTCAGTGGGTTTTTTGAATGGGTTTTTGGTTAAATGCCTTAAAATAATGTCTGTGGTTAACACAAGTCCAAGACATGTTTTATTCAACAGCATAAAATATATCAGTAATACCCCACACATGATTTTTCAAGCTTTTAAATGTCT